TGGGACATGGGGGGGGACGGGGACGTGGGATCCGGCATCAGCACCGGCTCCCAAAGCGCGGCCAGAAATAGCCAGAGGGGGGCGGGTTCGCCTGGCAGAGGCACTGCTCTTGCCAGCCCTGAGAGCCGGGTACATGACCGAGGCTGCGGGTCAGCAGTGAGGGGCACCAGCAGTGCTGCGGGGGGTGGGGAGGGCCTCGGGTCCTGAACAGGAGTTCCCCCCCCTCCCCTGCCAGTGCCCCTCACTCCCAACCCGCAGCCCCTGCTAGCCCAGCCCTGGGCTCCCCCCCCCCAGCTCTGCCGGTGCCCCTCACTCCCGACCCAGCGCAATGAAGACTGAGAACTCCCAACCTCATCCCCGGTGGGCTCTGTGCAGTGCCCGGGGACCACCCACCATCCTGGCACGCAGCCATCCAAGGAGTGGGGGGATTCGGGGGGACGCGAGTGAAGCCAGGCAGCAGGCAGGGGGGAGGGGGAAGACGCCCAGCACAGGGACCGAGAACGGACACAAGCAGCAAGAACCCTTGGTTCTATGGGGCTGAAATCCCAGGTGGCGCTTTGGCCGGGCACCGGCGGCTTTCACCCCCCAGCACAGGGGGATTCCCCCAAACCCCCTCGCCGGGGAGCTGTGTGTGGACCCCTGAGCTCCATGGGCCCACCCAGAATGCCCTGGGGTGGAAGGATATGGGGCACCCCAGATTCTTGTCTGTAGGTGGTGGGCACCCCACTCCCATGGGAAGATGGTAACAGGTTGCCGGGGCATATGGACCTAACTGCACCAGGAACAGGCACTGGGAGACCCCAAAATTCACTCTCACATGGGCACGTGCCCCAGAATTCACGCTCACTGGGGGGGGGGGGTGTACCCTGATGGGGGGGGAGGCTGGGCAGCTGCCCTGAATTCACACCTCTGCCTCTCTCACCTAACAGCCCCCTCCTGTGCTCCCCCTTCCGCCTCCCTGCCCCCGCTCACTGACGCGGTCCCCAGCTCTCCCTGGCTACGCCCCATTGCAGGGTTTGGGGTGGGGACTGGGCAAAGCGCCGCACAGGGCGATCTGCAGCGGTGGTTGAGCTGAGGGGGACAGGCCCCGCGCCCCGAGCTGTCGGCCGCCAGCCCTGCTGGGAGGAGCTGGGGGCGGAGGGAGGCCGGGGTCCAGGGAAGGGAGCCAAGGCCGTCAGGAGAATGAAGTCATGGAAAGTCGGGGCGGGGGGACAGGCGGAGGGGGAGCTGGGAGCTTCCCTGATGAGAAACCCAGAAAAGGACTGGAACCGAGTGGAGCCTAAAAATAACCTCCCGGACGGGCCCTGGCATGGGGCCGGGCTGGATCCTGGGGGGCTGATGGGGGCAGAGCTAGGACACAGGTGAATGGAGACAGCCCCACCCCCAAACAGTTCTACAGGCCCTGCCAATGGGTCGCTCCGCCACAGCCCCCCAGGGTCACAGCTGTGCCGGGCAGCCAAGGGGGCTGCAGGTCGGGAGTGAGGGGCGCTGGGCTAGCGGGGGCTGCAGGGGGGGGGGCAGGGCTAGGGGGTGGGAGCCCAGGGCTGGGGGGGCACCGGGCAGGGGTTGGGGGGGGGCGCTGTTCAATTGGAGCTCGTTGCGGCTGGTGGTGGCACGTGGTACTCTGACGGGGCGGCCAGCAAACCCCAGAGCTGCTGGCCTATACCAAGGTCTGTTGCCCGGGCGCAGGCTGAGGGCCATAACAGGGCACCAGGCTGAGGCCTCCCCAACTCATTGCATGGCCGGGCACAAGCGAGATGGGGGCTCTGTTGCTGCCCATCTTCCTGCAGGCCAGAATCGGGGGCCTCCCGTTGTACTAGGTTCGGCACAGATGCCCCCCCCCCCTCGGCCAGGAGTCGTGGGGTCCCCACACGCTGGGCACTGCACAGACCCCACTGGGCTGGGAGTTTTCTGTCGGGATAGCTATTGCACTGAAGAGCCTGTGGCTTGGGA